CTTTAGATTTCCATATGCTCTAAGACTAGTTAGAGCTTACAAATCAGTCATAAATTAACAGAATCAGTTAACATTTCATCAGTCAAGAACCAAGAAATAAAGCAAAACACAACAAAAATCAGAAAGAAGGAAAAATTAAATTCTGCAGTAAAAATCCCCTCAGAGAACTTCACATTATTATATGTTAATTAGATTTTTCATGGGCCTAATCCTGTTACCCTAGAATCTGACAAAAATAAAGCTAAGGAGATGCAGTCATCCCCTCCTTATTCACAGGAAGGAGTTGGTTCCAAGACCCTCCCCCACCCAGATACCAAAGGCTGTGATGCTCAAGTGCCTCACCTCAAAGGGCTGAGCACTTGCACAATCTATGCACATCCTCTCTATAATGTAAAGCATCTCTGGATTACTTAGAAATTACACAATATAAATGCTATGTAAACAATTGTACTGTATTATCAGGGAATAATGACAAGAAAAAAGCCCAAACATGTTTAGCAAAGATGCAGTTTTTTTAGAATATTCTCCATCTGTGGTTGGCTGAATCTGTGGACACAGAGGGTAGATCATACAGACATTAAGGATCAGACATCTCTAGTCAGGCACGGCCCCCCACCTCCCTCCCACACATACACTAATCACCACCTTACCATCCTTGCCCTCTGCAGAAACAATTGACAAAAAAGAGGAAAAAATTAGAAGTATCTCAAGTCTTCAGGGAGAACACAGGTGAAGGAAGAAGGCACTCACCCAAAAACAGTGGCAGGAGCTTCCAAAGACACTATTAACCAAGATCTGAAGTGCTTAAATGACAGGGAGACTAGCATCACATTCTTTCAGTAGACTGTATGACTGATTCTGCATACTTGAGCAAGGGGACAAAGAACTGATAAGAAGTAGCAAGAAAAGTGGGAAAGTTAAGCAGCCACATGCTACCATTTGGCATCAGAAGGAAATGAGTTGCCAGTGGCTTAAGTGGAAACTGCAGAAGTACCTGGACTCAGTGGTCTTGCCATTATCAAAATATCTGGCTGCAGAGAGAAAAGATTCTTACCCCAACTCACTCCATACACTCATGGAAACAGGCAAGCAATATGTGGGTTGGAAAAGATTCAGCCACAGAAAACTTCATATCCTGGAACTGTGCAGTAAGGAGTCTCCCTGCAAGATGTCACCAAAAATGCCAGTTTGGCTGTCTAACAGTGGACATGAATGGGTTGTAACTGCTAATCAAGAAGGGCTTTAGAAGAACCAGATAAATTTTTCCATTCCTCTTGTGAATAGCCCCTGTCCAAATAGATCCCTGAAAAGGCAAAAGAAAAGAGGTATTCCAGAATCATACCATAATCCTCCCTACCCCAAATGCATGAGGCAGTAAGTGACCTGATCCTGAGGAAAGGGAGGAAAGGAGTTCTAAATTGAATGTGAGATTGCTGGTTTAAACTGGAATAGATAGACTAGAGCTTTTAATAGCTGTAAATGATAGAAAGGCTATGATGTCATGAGGCAGTGAGGAGGAATGGAGAGAAAGAATCTACAGAGTTGAAAGCAGTGAACGATGAAAATTAAAACTATCATGTGTTTGTTCTCACCAAGCTTGGAATGTTCATAACCTGACCATGTGGGAACTGCATGACCACCCTTAGTAATGGCAGAGAACACCTGACATGGAAATTCTTAAGAAGGATTTACCATTAACAGGTAAGAAGCCACACTAGAAATCCTCCTAGATCACTTCCCCATCCACTGCTTGTAACTGTCGTTTCTTCCAGAAGAGACAGAATTGAATCCAGAACCTAGAACTCAGTGGCTAAACTATAAAAGGTGAGGCTGCCCAAAGGGGTAAAACCCCAACTTATTTGAGAGTGAAGTTACGAGATTGACAAGTCCGGTAACAGTTTCATTTGAAAACAGTATTTTACTCTAAAACATAATTAATTTTTAAAAGAAAATCCTAAATTACTCAAATTTTTTTACATTCAAAAGAAATTCCAGTTCAAAGAAACTTGATTTAAAATCCTCAAAATACTAGCTTCCCAAATCAAAGTTATTCAACTAGTCAAAAAGCTTACTAAAACAAACAGCAAACAAATGCTTGAGTATCTTCTAGGAATTCCAAACCCACATGTTCTTTACCACACAGTACCTACAAGCAAAAATATTACTGAAGGTTAAAGTTTAAAGGTACTAATTGTAACAGTGCTACTGCTTAGCAAATATTAGCAGGAAGCTTTATTTTTACATGAAAACATCCCATATGTGCTTCTGAAAATAATTAAGCATTACAGGCAAGTATCTAAAGCTACCAAGCATCTGCCCCACGAAGTCCTTTCAGATACCAAGTCCACAAATTTCCAAATGCTGTGTACTCACAAATGGTCCAAAATCTTAGAACTAAACTTTAATATTCATCTCCTACTGAATCTATTTTATTATACTACTGCAGATCTGAAATGATCTTTTAAAATCTTGAAATTTAAAATAAAGTCTAAATATTACCAAAAGTAAACTGCTCAAGGTGAAAAAAGTAATTATTTGTGTATTACCTTAGCTCACAGCTAGAATCAAATGAGGGAATTACTTGAAATTTTCTTTCTAATAAAAGTAGAGTGTGAGTAACTAATGTCACATCTGAAGTTACTAGATTCTGCTCAGAAAACTATCTTGCTCATTCTTAAATGACAGTTAAACAGAACAAGAATAACATCAATATGTCAATGTCAAAATCTGACTTAAATCATACTAATAAATTATTTCTTAGATTTTATTATGGGTTACAAATTTTAATACAGTCAAGGTAACTGTGAGGTTTGCAATATGACAAGAATAATAGTAAAGAACTTTCACCCTTAGGTCAAAAAGTCACTTTTTTAAAAGTTCTGTTAAGGACAAGAGACATGGCTCTAACAGGAGAGCACCTGCTTTGCAAGTACAAAACCCCAGCCCTCCAAAAATAATTTTTAAAAAACCTCTATTAAATGTTTTTAGGAAAAGGTCCCAATAAAAATGTAAAATGTTCTACCTTTCCCAAGTATCTTCCCAGGAGTTTTCAATAACATTATATCCCATATTTTATCAACCAGTACTTGAATATTACCCACAATGACTTTTTAAAGAAAAGAACCCAATGCTATTCTTAACATCCTTAAACACTTCTAAAAAGGTCCTTCCGGCTTATGAACTCAGGCAGTTTCCTCACAATTGTACACTTATCCTGTTCCACTGTCTCTCCTAGTCTATGACAAATTTACACACCACCTCTTTCCTATTTTGCTACAATGCTAAAACTAGAAAGTAAAAGATACAAACCTGCTACTCTACCCACACCCAGCAACAATAAAATTACTAATGAAAAACATAAGAGATAGAAAGCAACATATATATCATATATTCTCAGTGTGGCAAATGTGGCAAATGTTATCCCCTGCTTACCCCCAAAGACAAACACAGCCTGCTACCTTGATCAGCACATGCTCTTCAAGAGAAACCTGTCGACAGACACACTGTAGGTTTATGGCACTATAAAACAAATTACCTATCAACTCAAATTCTTTCGAGCTTAATATTCTCGTTTAAACGCACCAGTGCCCTAAAATGTAATTTCCCTTGGGATGATTTGGCCAAGATAAGAAATATCTAAACAAACTTATTTGGGGAAATATTTTTTGGTACAAGTGTGTCAACATGAAAAATTAAGATTATGAAAGTGATAGATAGCACTTTAGTCAGAACAAATCTTACTATTTTTGAAGTAACAGTTCTTCAAGTTCTCCAGAAAGTGAAGAAAAACAGTTTTACAAAACTATTCTTTTTTCAAGTTTTTCTCTGAATCACATAAGGCTCACTCAAACTTTGCTGTAAATTCTTCAAAGGCATTAAACATAGAAAGCAGGCGAGCTGGGTATGTGGGGGAAATAAAGCAGACTGCTCAGTAAAATTCTAAGACAGGTGACAGTGGTACAAACCTCAGAGTGGGCTATTTGTTCCAGTCATTAAGCACACCGGAAATAAGATTTTCTAGTTAGAAAACGAATTCACAAAGGGCGATGACTTCATTAAAGCAAAGAAAATATTAAAGCTGGCAAGCATTACAGAGGGTTGGAAAGGGAGATGGAAGAGGAAAATAGCATGACCAGCCTGAGTATCTGTTCCTTAAGGCGGTTCTAGGACCTGTCCCCAACAGGGCAATGGGGTTTCAGTGTTTACACGGACCGTGATACATGCTCTGCTTCGGGGCGCAGCACACCCAGCGGCTTTCATTCTGACACTACCACTTTCCCTCCGATCATCTTCCCGGGAGGGTCAACAGAAAGCATCCGAAACAAACCACAAACCACCCAAGACGGCCCTAACAGCTGCGCTCGGCGGCATGCCTCGAAGCCCAAGCCCCGCGTTCTGGTGCCCCCGCCCCGCCCCCGGTCCCGGTCCCACCGGCGTGATCTTGGGCAAGTCACTTCCACCCTCCCACTGGCCACCCGCCCGCGAAGGTGCGAGGGGACACCATACACACTGCACGCCGGCTGTCCCGGCCGGAGCGACAGCCATCTGGACTAGGCTGCCCACACCGCCGGCCCGTGTGGAGCCACCGGGACCGGCGTCGCCGCGGGAATCCCCGGACGGCGGGCGGCACGTCCAGGGAGGGCCCGCGGGGGGAGGAGGGAGGGATGCCGGCAACCTCGGCGGGGACAGCCGAGCAGCGAGCTCCTCCGCCCCGCGACCCACCGCACGAGCCTCGCCGCCCCGGCAGCCCAGTCCGAGGTCCCGGCAGCCCTCAGGGCGCAGCGGGTCCAGGACGCCCGCGCGCAGGGACGCCGGCGGGTGGCCTCGACCAAACGCCGCGCGCGCCTGGCGGACGCGCGGGGAAGGGGCGCGACCCCGCACTCACCACCGCCACCGCCGCCGCCGCCGCCAGCCCCGGGGCGGACGCACCGACACCTCTCGCCCGCTCCCAGAATGCGTCCTCCCGCCGCTGCCGCCTCACAGTCCGCGCCCGGCCTCACCTCCCCGCCCCGGCGCAGCCGTGCGCCTCACGCCCCACTTTACTGCGGCCTCGGCCCGGAGCACCCGTGCCGCCGCGGTCCAGGATCCCACAGGCACCCAGCTGCCAGGAGCGGCGCCCACGACGGCCCGCCCGCGCACTGCGCACGCGCGCACGTACCGACTCAGCCCCCCCCCCCCCAGACGGCGGCTGAGATTCCGTAGCGGACACTCCCAGCCCGCCAGACTACAAGTCCCGAAAGGCTCCGCGCGCGCCCGGCGGCGTGGCGGGCCGAAGATGGGCGTCTTCCTGATTCCTGGGTGGTGACCCCAGGTCGCTCTGGGTGGGAGGGTTGGGGGCGGGGGAGAACCGCGCGCAGAGCGCCGGGTTCCGGCGCCGCGCTGCATCCTGGGAAACGTAGTTTTCCAGGACCACGAGGCTTGGCTGGGTGTTGGAACTCCGGGTTCTCTGATGTCATCGCCCAGAGTCGAGGCGCAGGAATCTTTAAAAATAGGCTTGGTTCGTTCGCAGATAATTTGTTTGCAAGCTGTCCCACTATCGTTCCCAGCAAGCGCTTCAGAGTTCTGTACGCCAATTTTAAGCACCTAACCATTTCTTTCTCCCTGGAAATGCATCTCCAGCTTCCTCCTTAGGAAGGTGTTTATAGTACAAGACGCTAAGAGACACTTGAAGGATTAGTCGAAATTCTTTCAGGACGGGTGTGTTCACATAAATATTTAGGAATATTTAACGTATTTGTTGAGCAACTACAATGCGCCAAGTACCTGCCCTCGTAGAGCTTGCATTCAATAGGAGAGCTAGCCCTTGAACCAATTGTTACAGATTTAAATGTGTTGCAGAAATGGGCAGGCTCCAGAGAGTGTCAGGGCAGGCCTCTCTAGGTGGTTAGGAACAGGTCTCTGAGGACGTGATATTTGAGCTGAAACCCGAAGATGAGAAATATTCAGCTGATATTTTCATACACAGTATGTAATGCACAGCACACATTAGGCTCTCAATAAATACCTGTTCCTCTTGTGCCCTTCCTTCCCTCTTCCTGCACAGCCTTAGATCACAAGCCCTCCCCCTTCAAAACCTTTATCAACACCTTTAGGAATATCCTTCCTATGAGAAGATGTACATGAGACCATCAATGTCCAGAGATAGGTCATGCAGTTCTCAGAGTTGGATAAACTGATGGAGGTGAAAACACCTGCATGGAATACTCCCGTGCTGGCTTCCAGACTGCTCACCTTCAGCTGCTTTTCATCCAAGGTGATTGTTTGGTTACCTTTTGAGAAACCTCAGTTGTGCAGCCTTGCTGTACCTGTCTCTGGGGTCTCATTTCCTCCTCTGTATGATGGTTTGAAAGAGTTTAGACTCCCCAGAGTCTATAAATAAGCCAGCCAAGACTGTTTCCTTTGATCCACAAAGGATTTTTGTTGATTTAACTGATATGTGGCCAACATTTAAAAATAAAGACTTTTCACATAAAAATCCAGATATCACTTGTCTGATTTTTCTAGGCATTTGAGCTGGCCTTTCCTGGCCCAAAGATCTGGAAGGAATCCCTAGCTGTTCAGCTCTAGAGCCCTAGAAATTTCCATCTGGGATATTTGAGACATACTTAACAGAAATTTCCTGTTTATCTGTAATTCAAATTTAGTACCTTTTATTTGATCTGAAACCTCTAGCCCTGAAGTCAGCAGACCACTGAAGCAGGAAGCCTCTTACTTCTTCTAGCCTAACCCAGAGGAAAGCATTCCCTGGTTGTTATTTACCATTTGACTCCACTGACTACTGTGAAATCATTCCTTTGCTCTTTTTTGTTTTGTTTTGTTTTCTTAATGAGCCCTAAAGATTGTTTGACTTTGAGAGCCATGTCTATATACAATGAGGTGAGCCAGAGAAGTGATTAAATTTGCTCAAAGACACACAGCAAAGTAATCCTAGAGCTACTCTGAGGTTGGGATATAGCCAGAACTTGATAACTCCTGATCAGCCAATAAGTTCAGAGACTGGGGGAGAGGGGAACTCTCTCTGCTTTTCCTCAGACTTTTTTTTGGATGGAGAGGTTTTGTTACATAACAGTGCTTTCAGTGTTATTTAAAGAAAAAAAAAGTATGTGGAATATTCCCCTGTTGAAATTACAGTCTGAGAACAAACCAAGAACAGTCAAAGCCCACTGAAGTCACTGGAGCATGCTGGAATATTCCACGTATTCTTGTCATCTGAAGAAAGAGGAGGAATCTGAATTCAAGGGTTGCAATTTAACTTTAAAACGTCAGGATTACCATCATCATCATGCTTTGCATGTGTAAAGTACTTTGATGTTCTGTTCAAAGGTGTTTCTTGAGCCCTTTCTACATGCTTAATGCTGGGCCCTAGATCGTCCAATATGACACCAGCCCCTTTGAAAAATTCTCCATTTGACAAAAGTAAGTAGAGAAGCATAGAGAAGTCATGTGACTGATCGAAAGGCACACACTATTACTGAGTCCTAGTCACCCCTCTAATACAGTACTTGACTTTCCTTCCCCCATGGACACTTCATAGCTCAGTTCTCTGCTTGATTTTTTTCTCCTTAACAATGGTTACATATTACTTATATAAATAAGAATATAAATTACATATATGTCTTATTTATTTTCTTCCCATCTCAGTATAACGTAACCCTACACACATACAGGGACTTTATGTTTCGTTCATCTCTGTGTCCTTAGTGCCTTGAAAGAAGCTGCTGAACAATGAATGCCACAAGCCCCCCTTATGGAAAGAGTCACAATCAGCAGTCAAACAGGAGCAATTCCAGAAGTAAATCCTGGCCTAGCTAGAAATCAGAACCAAGATAGGACAAGAACTAAACATGAATCAAACACTCTCTGAATCCAGCTTTGTTTTTCTGTGTCCACTCCAGAAACTGGATAGCAAAGAGTTAAAAACAGCTTGTTCCTCTTTTTCAGTGTAGTGTAGAGCCAGAGAGAACATCAGGGGTTGCTTCTGTAACTGTAGTCAGGTGACTGGGAAGCCAGCTGCGCCCACACATCTGGCAACAAAATAGTGATGGGGGAGGATGGTCCTTAGTAATTACCCAGGGCAGACCATGTAAAGGGACCTGCCCAGACTACAAATGAAGTGACTAGCATCTCCTTTTGGAGCTAATTCTTGCAACCCAGAGCTGAGCACAATCTTCTGCCAGGAGGAGCAGGAAGGAGTATCCACAAGTCATGCTTACCCAGGTGCAAGAATAGTAAGATTTCTGAACAGCTCAGGAATCAGCCCCGATCCCAGGCCGGCAAGAGGACAAATAAAAGGTCAGGGCCTCTAAGACCTATAGAGGGCAGAATCAGGTTTTTCCTGCCTTCTGATCATCAGGCAACAAGGAAAGTTTCCTAACCCTGACTGATTGATAAAACCTCCTCATGCTACTGGAGCCCTAAAGGTCCTCAGCAACTCTATGGTCTCTGGGGTCTGGGAGGTGCCAGGCATATCAGATACCCTGGTTAGATCATACTCTAATTATTCTGACCACATATAGCAGGCAGTTCTGGGATGTTGGTAAGCCCTAAAATTGAGAGGCACAGATTACCTGCTATCACCCACACCTGTGGACTCTTTGCTCCAAAGTGTCACTCGCACTTGAAAAGAAAGGTTTTCTGAAGTTAAGGTGATCATTCAGGGCCATTGCTAAGTTGGTAATTGCAGCATTAAAGTGGGGAACATTCTAGAAGGTGAAGCCTCTTTCCAGACAAAGCTGGGAGAGGCTCTGGGGATGGTTTCATCTTTGTTTCCCAAGCTCCTCAGCTTATTAGAATTCCTTTCAGATCCCTGCTACTTACCTGTCCAAATCCAGCCAAACTCCTCCTTTAGTTAAAGCCTAATGATTTCTCTCATCCATCTCTCCATTTACCGAAGATGTAATTAACTTTCCACAACAAGAACCAATGTCTCAAGTGTTCTAGAAGGGTGGCTGTGAGCCATTCTCTGACCATCAAGGAAGAGAAGCACAAAAACCAGTTTTCACCATGAAACTCTGTCTGTCATGGGCTCCATCCCAGGAAAGGAAGGCAAGGGCAGGGGCTCTGGAGTCTATCTGCACTGGCCAGCTGGGTGACCTTGAGCTGGCACCTTATGTTTCTGAGCTTTAACATTTCTTCATCTGTAAAATGGAGATAAAAATAGTCCCTCCTTTGCGGCCTCATCATGAATCTTAAATGAAATAGTATCTACAGCTCTGGTACATAGAACAGCACTGCTAGTGCCAGCAATTGCATTAGGCAGGTAGCCCAATTTCTGAGCCTACCTGCACAAGGCAAAAGATAACACATTCAGCATCTCTGGCCCCTATAGTAGGTAGATTCTAAAATTCCTTTAACTGCTACAGACCTCACACATACTAAGGTGAGTAGGATGAGATTGTGATCTAGGGTCTGAGTTTAGGATGGCTGGAGAGCAGGGCCAGAGCAGGAAGTAGAGTCCTGTCTTGGAAGGGCTCAGGGTAACTGTCTACAGTGAGAACCTTGCTGTGTCTTCTCAAGTGCACCCCACCCCCTCTCTCCTGGCCACAAAAATAAGTAAGTTGCAACAGGTAGACAGGAAAAGACTGATGGCTTCATTGTGTTCAATCCTCTCTGGCTCCCTCAGAAACTTTCTGCTTTCACCTAAAAGGCTGCTCCATCCCCTCCACAACTGCCCCACCCCCTGCAAACAGCAGAGGCAGCTCTAAAAATAGTGTGCCTTCTCTGGCCCCCTGGCATGTTAATACATCTTTGTTCCCGAATGGCATTTAATAACTGTACTTTATAGTGAAACAAAAGCTGTAATCAGAGCCCAACAATGGAAGCTGCAGTCAGCACTGAACAATACTCAGAGTTCCCATGGTGATCTCCCCCATCACAGCTGTGAGAACCAGAAGTCTCAACCATGAATTCCATTCACAATTATTCACCCAGCCTCACTGTGGCTTATTTGAATTACGGCTTCCCTGCCTCCTCAGCGGGGCTTTCGAGGGTCTGAGAAGGGATGCCAAGCCTGGGCTCCAGCCAAGAGCAGGTGTACGCAGGGGCTGGCTGGGAGAAGCCTGCACGGGGGTGGCTGGGTGACAGAGACAGATTGTCCCAAGCTGGAGATTTCAGCAGACTTCTCTGC